ATATTAGATTTCTTAATCTGCTTTAAATGGAATGTTTAGAACTTTTAAAGTGGGGTTCTTTGGAAAGGTTATGAATAATTAATCTATCTGATGTAGAAAGCTTTTTAAATGACTACAGTTTGGAGAAATATAGTGTAATTTTGACTAGGTTGGAGAGCTAACAGTAAAGGCTCTGCCACTGCAATGTTTTAGACAACTTGTGAAAATTTTCTTAAACACTGAAGATGGAATGGAAAAAAAATGCTGGAAGCCTTATTTGGACGTTTGCATTATTAACTATGTTTTACCAAGCAAAGCCCATTGAGATCTCAGATCTCTTTTCCAAAGGAGGCCTGGGCCTGAAGGCAACCTATTGTACATGTTTTTAGGGGAGGGGGAAACCAGAACACCCAGAGAAAACCCACACAAGCACGAGGAGAACATGCAAACTCCACACAGAAAGACCCCAGGTCCMAACRAGGGATCTAACRCAGGATCTTCTTGCTGTGAGCGTCGATTCTAACCACTGAGCCGTCCTGCTGCAAAAAGATCAGATCATTATAACCTATGAGTAATTCGATCTTTTTTTTTTTTTTGCTTAAGTTGTTGAAAAATATTATAGTGTGACAGGGGCTTTAGACTGAGTATGAACAGCACTAAACTCTGACATTTAAAGACAAGTTCAGTTGACTGTTTTCCCCATACTGTTAGAAAGGTCTGGCATTATTGTCTCTGCGGTCAGCAGAGGTGCTACAGCTAACTGCCACTGCTGCTATTTGCACATAAAATTATCTTCAAAACCTGTGTTAATGACTGCAGAGCTGGTTGTGTTGTGAATAATAATAAAATTAAATAAATTGGAGTTTTAAGATGGCAACAAGCAACTTTGGTCTTGGATCACTGTGATCAAAGTTAAACCATATTTTTTCAAAATGAGGTCATTCGGTGTGAAAAAGAACATTCAGGTATATACAACACGTAAACCCACAGAACTCGAAAAATATCAAATATGAAACATCAAAGTTTTTGCTYTAAGTACATTTACTCTCCTTGGAACTGTATCTTTTTTTAACCTCAATATTTCTATTCAATTCAGTCATCAATGATGCAAATTGCTGCTCGTTGCTGAAAAGACTCACAGCGTCAGCATCTAAATATCAAGAGGCAAATTTGTTCACAGCAAGTCCCCGTTCTGAAAATGCTGATACAAATCCTCTGAGAGTGTAAAAAAAAAAAAAAAAAAAAAAAACACAATTATAATCTCACATTTCAACAAATAATGGTGGGTTGCAAGAGAGAGAGAGAGAAAAACAATAATCAAAATATTCAATTCCCCAGGAGGCAGAGCTGAGGCCGGGGTTAGTGGTAGCTGCAGAAACCGACGAGTGAGAATGTGTGGGATGGTCTTTGAAAACTATCCATCTGCCACTGCAACAGACTGGACGGCAGTTGAGTGGAAACGAACCCTGCAGACAGTATAGCTGCTCTGTCTTCCAATGACTTAGTATG